ATTTGCAGACACAAATATTATACAAACCTAATGTGCATTTTTACATAACACTGACAGTAACAAGCCTAAAATTAGTTGAAAATGTTTGCGTTTGTTTATTTGGCAGATGTTTTTATCTAAAGTGACTTGCATCACAGTGTTATTATATAGTATAGTATTTATTCATATTTTGAATGAGTTTTATTTGAATGTTCGTTTTTAATTGATTTGTAATTTTATGTCCCAAAAACTCTTTTTAGTATTAGTTTAGTCTTTAATTTTACTGAACAATTACAACACTGCATTGCATTCCAGGTATACATTTGATCCATTTATGCATTTCCTGGGAATCAAACCCATGTGTTTTGCTAGATTAAACTGTAAATGATGATAATAATGATATTTAAATAAATAATCTGTGAAATGTATGGTAAAACCAGCACATCTGATTGCCAGAACTTCATGATAAGAAAGAAAAAAATAATAATTAACTAAAAATAAATAAATAACATTATTACACATATATTCACTGTAAATTGTTAGATTAGATTTTTCCACTTTCAAAAACTGTAGATTTTTACAGTGTTTTTTTTTTTTATATATATATATATATATAGTTCTTCACCATATAGAGTAAGGGAACTTATTGTTTCCCACTGTTTTTACTGTAGCATTTTTACACTCATTTACTGTTAAAAAGAGAATTTTTACCGTTAGAACTACAGGAAATATGCATTAAATGCATGCATTTTTATTTAAATTGCTAGCTATAAGCATTTAGCAACTGTTTCTGAACTTATGAGAAAACTGACCATCAATTTACACCAATACCAACTATATTTTTGCGTAGATTATAATATAATACATTTATAATTTACAGTTTTCTCGCTCCAGATCCCTCCCGAGCATCATCATCTGTCCACTCCGTTTATCCGGCAGTCCTCCGCTTTTAATTAGCAGTGAATAACCAGCGCTCGCTCAAGCCGCGTGGCGTCAGTGTGAGATGAAAGACCTGCTGTGTGCGGAGGCACGTAGAGGACTCTTCTCATGGGGATGGAGGTCTTCCACTCCGCAGCTAGCCTTCAATTCACCTGCTTTACTATTACATGAAAAGGATGAAAGAGAACCGCTAATTGCCCATAGACAGCGCCATCAGAAAAGGCCTTTATGAACCGTCCATACACTCTTAGAAAAAAAGGGTTCATTGGGGTTCTATATATGAAGCATAGGGTTCTTTACTCAACTCCAAAGAACCTTTAATGCTAAAAAAAGTTCTATAATGACAAGAAAGAACCCTATTGGCATAAAGGTTCTCTTTATAGGCTATTATTCATTCATAGTTTTTCTGCAGTAAAGAGAGAAGAGGATAGTTCACCCAAAAATGAAAATTCTGCCATCATTTACTCATCCTCACGTTGTTCCAAACCTGTATGAGTTTCTTTTTTTTCTGTTAAACACAAAAGAAGAAATTTTAAAGAATTTTTGGATCCAAATATTTGACTGCAGCCATTGATTTCATAGGAGGAATAAATACAATGGAAGTCAATGGCTGCCGTCAACTGTTTGGTTTTAGCAGTATTCTTCAAAATTTGTTTTTGTGTTCAACAATCATACAGGTTGGAAACCATTTTTTTTTTGGGGGGGGGGGGACTATCCCTTTAAGACTGAGTTCTGTTGGGGGGACTATCCCTTTAAGACTGAGTTCTGTTGGGAGAACTATCCCTTTAAGACTGAGTTCTGTTGGGGGGACTATCCCTTTAAAACTGAGTTCTGTTGGGGGACTATCCCTTTAAGACTGAGTTCTGTTGGGGTGACTATCCCTTTAAGACTGAGTTCTGTTGGGGGACTATCCCTTTAAGACTGAGTTCTGTTGGGGGGACTATCCCTTTAAGACTGAGTTCTGTTGGGGAGGACTATCCTTTAAGACTGAGTTCTGTTGGGGGGACTATCCCTTTAAGACAGAGTTCTGTTGGGGGGACTATCCCTTTAAAACTGAGTTCTGTTGGGGGACTATCCCTTTAAGACTGAGTTCTGTTGGGGTGACTATCCCTTTAAGACTGAGTTCTGTTGGGGGGACTATCCCTTTAAGACTGAGTTCTGTTGGGGGACTATCCCTTTAAAACTGAGTTCTGTTGGGGGGACTATCCCTTTAAGACTGAGTTCTGTTGGGGTGACTATCCTTTAAGACTGAGTTCTGTTGGGGTGACTATCCCTTTAAGACTGAGTTCTGTTGGGGGGACTATCCCTTTAAGACTGAGTTCTGTTGGGGAGGACTATCCCTTTAAGACTGAGTTCTGTTGGGGGACTATCCCTTTAAGACAGAGTTCTGTTGGGAGAACTATCCCTTTAAGACTGAGTTCTGTTGGGGGGACTATCCCTTTAAAACTGAGTTCTGTTGGGGGGACTATCCCTTTAAGACTGAGTTCTGTTGGGGTGACTATCCCTTTAAGACTGAGTTCTGTTGGGGTGACTATCCCTTTAAGACTGAGTTCTGTTGGGGTGACTATCCCTTTAAGACTGAGTTCTGTTGGGGGGACTATCCCTTTAAAACTGAGTTCTGTTGGGGGACTATCCCTTTAAGACTGAGTTCTGTTGGGGTGACTATCCCTTTAAGACTGAGTTCTGTTGGGGGGACTATCCCTTTAAGACTGAGTTCTGTTGGGGGACTATCCCTTTAAGACTGAGTTTTGTTGGGGGGACTATCCCTTTAAAACTGAGTTCTGTTGGGGGGACTATCCCTTTAAGACTGAGTTCTGTTGGGGGACTATCCCTTTAAGACTGAGTTCTGTTGGGGGGACTATCCCTTTAAGACTGAGTTCTGTTGGGGGACTATCCCTTTAAGACTGAGTTCTGTTGGGGGGACTATCCCTTTAAGACTGAGTTCTGTTGGGGGGACTATCCCTTTAAGACTGAGTTCTGTTGGGGGGACTATCCCTTTAAGACTGAGTTCTGTTGGGGGACTATCCCTTTAAGACTGAGTTCTGTTGGGGGGACTATCCCTTTAAGACTGAGTTCTGTTGGGGGACTATCCCTTTAAGACTGAGTTCTGTTGGGGGGACTATCCCTTTAAGACTGAGTTCTGTTGGGGGACTATCCCTTTAAGACTGAGTTCTGTTGGGGGGACTATCCCTTTAAGACTGAGTTCTGTTGGGGGACTATCCCTTTAAGACTGAGTTCTGTTGGGGGGACTATCCCTTTAAGACTGAGTTCTGTTGGGGGGACTATCCCTTTAAGACTGAGTTCTGTTGGGGGGACTATCCCTTTAAGACTGAGTTCTGTTGGGGGGACTATCCCTTTAAGACTGAGTTCTGTTGGGGGGACTATCCCTTTAAGACTGAGTTCTGTTGTTCTACCTGAAAGTCACTCAGTGTTCATGGTGGTGAAAGTTGTATAACATATTTCATCAGTGTTTCGAGAAGTCTTGAACCCAAGATTTAAAATATTTATTATTAATGTTTGGGAGTCTACTTTATGCGTGGCAAGCTCATGTATAATTACAAGCATTAACATAACCACTATGCATAATGTTTTACCTGTTTTTAGGTTTGGTGTTCTCTGGTTGTGGACGGCTTCATTCTCATTGATCAGCATTTTCATTTTTTTTCAGGCTCTTGATGTGAATCTTTAAGTTCATTTGCAACTCATAATAAAATATTTATTCATGCCTGATTATTTGCATTGCATAAGAAACTGCTTAAACCGCACAAAAACCACCCATGAATAACGAGGGATTATTAAAGGAAACGCAGGCCACATTCATCATGATATTAATCTTATGCAGTGCAATGCATATGTAAACGTTTTAAAGAAGCTCTAATGCATATTGCTGTGAAAACTGAAATGCTGTTGAAATAATACTGGACTGATTTATGCGAATATTCACACTGTAAATATGTAAATCCTCAAGTTAGATCTCTATCGCGTTAAAGATGTGTTTGTTACAGCACATTTTGAGTGTGTAATCTCCTATCCCAAAAGGTGCACTTTTTAATTTTTTTTATTGCTTTATTTTATATTTTATTTTATTAGCTTGAATGTGTTTTTATGTGCTTATGTTTATGTGCCTTGAGCATCTTCTGAAAGCATGATATAAAGTAAACATTGTTGTTATGATTGGTCAGTTGCATCATGACATGTCTGGTCATGTGATCTCAACATTTTGACTCCATATTAAAGGACTTTAGCTTATTTACCATATCCCCCAGAGTTAGATAAGTCCATACATACCTTTTTTTAATCTCTATGTGGGTTGTAACTCTGTCTGACGCACCCACCACTAGCCTAGCTTAGCACAAAGACTGGATGTAAATGGATACAGCTAGCATACTAATCCCAAATAAGTGACAAAATAACACAAACATTTTCCTATTTACATGTTGTGATTTGTATACTCACAGAGTGGACAAATAACAAAGTCATATGAGACACAGCCCTCTTTTAACCGTATAAATATTGGGAACTATATTTTCTGAAGGCGAAGCACTGCTACTTGGGCGGAATGATTACCGCAGCACACACAGGTCTCCCCTGTTTATTGTCGCAGCTCTTTACAATACAGCGAACACCCATGATTGTAAACTATGCTTTTACTATCTAGCAATTGCTGACTCTATTACTCCATCTCTGAACGAACTCTTTATTAGCACAGTGCGTCTCAGGTGCTGCGGTAATCACTCCGCCCAAGTAGCAGTGCTTCGCCTTCTGAAAATATAGTTCCCAATATTTATACTATTAAAAGATGGCTGTGTCTCAAATGACCTTGTTGTTTGTGCACTCTATCACAACATGTAAATAGGAAGATGTTTGCGTTATTTTATCACTTATTTGGGATTAGTATGCTAGCTGTATCCATTTACATCCAGTCTTTGTGCTAAGCTAGGCAAAAAGTCGGAGTGTTCCTTTAAATAAAATAAGGAAAATGCAAGAGTATTAATTATCTTCCATATCAAACTGTTTTAATCTGCAAAAACAGATCTAACCTTTTCAATAATAACCCAGATTGTCCTTTTGCCTTTGCACAGTGGGACGCCATCAATGAAATGGACGAGTATTTCAGCCCCATCCACACGTACCAGGTGTGCAATGTGATGAGTCCGAGCCAGAACAACTGGCTCCGGACCAACTGGATCCAGCGGGACGGCGCCCGGCGGATCTACATCGAGATGAAGTTCACTCTGCGCGACTGCAACAGCATGCCAGGCGTTCTCGGCACCTGCAAGGAGACCTTTAACCTCTTCTACTACGAGACCGACCGCGATGTTGGCACGACCATCTGGGAGAGTCAGTTTTCCAAGATCGACACCATCGCCGCCGACGAGAGTTTCACCAACGTGGACCTGGGGGTGAGGAGACTCAAGCTCAACACTGAAATCCGCGGCGTCGGGCCGCTCAGCAAGCGCGGCTTCTACTTAGCGTTTCAGGATATAGGAGCCTGCATCGCTGTGGTGTCCGTTCGAGTGTACTACAAACGCTGCACGGGAATGGCCCGAAACCTGGCCGTCTTCACGGATGTGGTCACGGGGGCCGACTCGTCCTCGCTCGTGGAGGTCAGAGGTCAGTGTGTGGACCACGCCGAGGAGAGAGACACGCCAAAGATGTACTGCAGCGCTGAGGGCGAGTGGCTCGTTCCTATTGGACGGTGCGTGTGCAGCGCTGGGTTTGAGGAGCACAGAGACAACTGCATTGGTGAGTGACAATACCCTCAATTTGCTGTTTCATCTTCAAGCGCATTTGAATATTTTCAACTGTATTTTTGAGTCACTTTAGACTAGATTTTTTTTCTGGTGAGTGGCACAATTGTTTTCTGGAACTGCAAAATAGCATCAGGGAAACACGTTTGCGCCGAAACACGTCTCTTTTTTTTTTGCGCTGAACCACCCAGGGAGCGCAAGTTCATTCCCTAGTTTACCGACGTGCATCTGTGGAGGGAAAAGTCCAAAATATGAATGATACACGTGTCAGTGTACAAAGTCATTTGCGGTGGGTGCAAAATAGGGCCCAAAATGTTCATACATATAAAACTACAGGCCCCTAAACAACTTACGTGTCAAAAAATGGCTAACATTTTATTTTGATAGTCCGCTTTAGACATTATACAGGCTATAAGTAACTTTGCAACTACATTTCAACTTATTCTACAAACCCGAACACTAACAGTGTTCTCTAATACTCATACTCATTGAAAGTTAGTTGACATATAGTGGTTTTCTCAGGTTCTGTCATTTCACGTTCATCCTCAGCATAATAAAATATATAGAGATATAAAACGACTGTTCAGCACTGACATGAGTGATCTTTCCTTATTTTAGTGTTGTGGCAACAAATCTTCCAGCTAATACGTATGGCTTATTATACTGCATACACACAGATGGTGTCCTCAACTCCTTAAATGTGTAAACAGACTTTAAAAAAACAAAAACCACATTACCTTTAGAAAATGCACAGACATGAATCATGAGAAGTTTGCTACTTTTTGAAGATATCTTGATTTTTTTTTTTTTTAATCTCATAGATTTGCATCTAAACAGTACTATGCCTGCCACATAGTATGCAATGCAATATTGATCATTCTGTTTCACCTCAACCACAGGAAAATAAAAATAAAAATGAAGAAACAAAAAAGACAAAACACATGCTATGGATTAATATTACCTGAGTTATCCACTTGGCAGCATTATTATATTATTTTTTTAAGTCTATAAGTCTAATCGGTTATACTTTATTTCGATAGTCCACTTTAGACATTGTCAACTAACTCTCATTAATTTCCAACTACATGTCTACCAATTCTCATTAGAGTATAATGGGTTCGGGTCAGTTGAATAAATTGCCATGTACTTGGATAGTCTTATATACATACTTGTGCAGAAAATCTACTATAATGAGAGTTAGTTAACATGCAGTTGCAAAGTTACTTATAGTCCCTAGAACGTCTAAAGGACCATCGAAATAAAGAGTTACTGTAAAATCTGTTTACTTCAGCAATACTTGTTGCATTATTATGCCAGCGGCCACTTTTTACATGTTTGTCCCCAAAGTTTGCACGTGTGTACCTATTATTTTCCCCCAGCTGATATTTGACTCCAAATTTCAGGTAAAACTTGTCATTTTGACGTCTTCTGCACAGTGCAGGAAAAATTCACCCATGACAATTAATATTGTGACTTTCATCACTATTATGTTTGTCTTTCTTTAGAAAAAAACAAAACCTTCGCAATCCATTTTCACCATGCAATATATTGAACAACAAAGTCGTGCAAATAAATGGCATTCTTGACTTGTGTGCACTGCAAACTCAGTTCATCGCATCACATTTTTGTCAGGTGCCTTCAAGCCTGTGAGAAACAAACAGACAGCTAGAGGACTATAAAGTGTCTATGAGACAAGATTAAATCTGTCTGCTAAGTGAATTAAAACATTTGATTGGCTGCTTTCAGGCTTATGATCTAATGTAATATTATTAAAACTCTACAGCTCATTCTTTCCTTTTCGTTCGATTGTACGCTGTCAGAAAATAAATATCATTATCTAAGAGTGACAGACTAAAGCATTCTGAAACCCCCTCACCGGTCGCCATCGGGCTGCTGATGTGTCGAGGCTGACAATCACAAACACATGCTAGATTCTCTGGAGGAGTTTATAATTATAATCTGTGAGAGCATGAAAAGTGGAAATTGAAGTCTGGGATTGTGAAAAGCTGGCCTCTTCAACCATGTACAGTAGCTTTTGACTGGCTTTGAAATCAGCTAATGTCAGAAAATATCACAAAGTCAGAATCGTAAGCTTTTTACAAAGCTCACTGACGAACAAAAGACTTCAATAAACAACTCTGAGCCCTTCGGAATAAAGAAGTCTTCGTCTTGGACGATGTGCGGCATTCTTGTAAAGCTCAGCTTTGTGCCCTTGCAATTTTTGCATCGTATTGTGTATATCAGAAGACGTTTATGAAGGACGTCATTAAACTGGATTGCTGCTTCGAAAAGTGCTCGTCCCTAACAGTCATTCTAACTTAGAATTGGTTGAATGAATTTTCATGAATTTGCAAAATACAATTTTAGTGTGAAATGTATACCTTCAACCAACAATGAATACCCACCTTAACCAGTTCCGCACATTTTTACACTCACTCTGATTTGACCCCAGCCGCAGTGCATGCTGGGTAACTAACAGAGCCACAATATATTCAATGCAACAGAGACTAACTTACCTAAAGTCTTAATATAATTCTTTTGCAAACACTGACTATTCTTTCAGGACATTAAATATATATATATATATATATATATATACGTATATAAAAATATACATATACAGTACAATTCAAAGTTTGCTATTGATGCGTTTTTTAGAAATAAATGAATACTTTTATTCAGCAAGGAGGCATTACATTGAGCATAATGATATCTATATTGTATTTCTGTTTCAAATAAATGCTGTTCTTTTGAACTTTCTATTCATCAAAGAATCCAGAATTTTTTTAATCACCATTTCAAGAAAAACGATTAAGCGGCAAAACATTTTTTTTTACATTATTAATAAAAAAATATTTCTTGAGCAATATTTCAATATTATGATTTCTGGAGGCTCATATGACACTAAAGACTGGAGTAATGATGCTGAAATTCAGCTTTGATCACAGGAATAAATTACATTTTACAATATATTAAAATATAAAACGGTTATTTTATACAGTGGTAATAATATTTTCACAATATTACTATTTTTACTGTACTTTTGATCAAATAAATACAGCCTTGGTGAGCAGTAGGGCTGCATCAAACGATTATTTTGGTAATCGATTATTAGAATGATTAATCGACTAATCGTCGATTATTTTGTCGGCTAATCAGTAAGTTTGGATCGATTATTCAGCTTTTTCAATTAGTTAAAACATTGAGATATACATATTCTTACTATGATATAAAAAAAGAAAATCAGTTCAAGTTTTGAAATAGTTCTTTCAAAAACAGTAAAAATTCTTACCGACTCCAAACCTTTGAACGGTAGTATTTCCATTGCAAATTAAATCATCAGCACAACATTTTGAGTAAAAAAGTTTCAGCTCAAAGCAAGAAAAAAATGAAAATCCATGTGTACAAAAGTGTTCACATGACCAAATCACGATTTAACCGCAAATTCTGAAATATTTCTTGTTTATTTTACATCATACCATTTTTCATGGTTATACATTTTTCAAAACCCTAAAACTTTGTTCTTGTCTGATACACAGACCTTTGGAGCTCACTGTATTTCTGATTGTTAACCCCGGCACAGCTCAATTGTTTTGCATGGAAGGCTGTTTACAAGCGCTCATGAATAAGTTAGCCCACAGCGGTGGCTGAACATGTGGGGAAAACACTCTCCCTTGAATCTAAGTAGGTTAAATCAAGTTGCCAAATGGAGTGGATTTGACAAGGCTCCCCGCTATCCCGATAGCATGAACTATCTCATGCTCTGAAATAGATATTTTCACGGTGGACTGGAAGACCCACTGGAAAACCCAAAAACAGAGCTGACATGAGTGAGCCGTGAAGCTAGTGCTCTGTTTTGATATGCACTTAAAATGTTAGTAGGAGCCCATCGCTCGGATCTCGGTCAAAGAAAATGGGAATCCTTTTGACATTTTCTATTGCGACGGCATGCAATCCTTCCACGGTGGTCTGCGCCTACGGCTGTAAGAGTGGTGTTTTTTTCAACGTCCAAGCTCAGTTTGCCATTGCTGGGTTTGTCCCTGAGATGTGCGTGACTAGAGGAGGAGCGTTCGCCGAGAGAATTAGCACAGCGACCCAGTTTAGACACCAAAAGCCTGACTCTGCGGCTCAGACACTTAACCTTTACTGACTGGCGGCAGCACTTTGGAGAGGAGAGAGTAAAAGGAAATGGATTGCCATGAGTGCTGTTAGCCACAGATCGAGCAGAAAATCACCTGACAAAAGTATGAGTTTGTGATGGTTTGAGTAATACGTTCAAAACAGAATGCTGTGATTCTGGCAACATGGGGGAAATTAAATTAATAACAATTCCACAGCATTTAGTCATGTATCCAGTGAATTGTACTTTCCAGTGCAATGAGAATTGCAGAAATGAGTGGGTAAATTGAATGGAATGGAAAAAAAATAGAGAAAGAAATATAACAATGTTCTTTTTGCATTATTATAAGGAAATGTATTAAAACACGAGGGAAATCATTGTTGTGTCCATGACTATGGGAAAAATTGGCATAAAGCTTACACATTTACCCAAATTATTATATGCATGTTTAACCGAAGCTAATTTGGGTGGGTTTGTCCCATCCCTAATGTCACTTCTCTTTCTTTTACGGCCCTGACGAGAACATCGATTTCCTCGGCTGGTAAATCCGCCGTTATAATAGTATTGCGCCATGGTACAAGCACACCTCGTTCATCATGCTCTTAAAGGGAATGTGATATGACGCTCTTATTGGTTTGTTTCCCGTTACGGCCAAACCACACCTATGAATAATGAAGCTACTTCAGACCAACCTCTTTTAGATTTGCGTCGAGCGCAAGGGTCATTTATCCCACCGGGAAAATAGCAACAGCGTTGAGATCCGCCCACAAAGTTACTTGCGCGTTGCGCTCGACACTTAGATCGTTAAAATAGGGCCCCTTTGCGTATTGTTTTTTTGGATTGCATTACACTAACGTAATGCACTTACAAAGGAA